ATCCTGGACTCAGCCCATTTGGACGACCTCAAATGTCCCAGGCTAATTTCACGACCACCACTGTGTTCAAGAACGCGACATCTGGTTAATTTCCAGCTTCCAATGGCGTGGCTGCCGGTTTACTCAATAGTTTTATTCAGAATCAACATCAGTTCCCTGATCTTATGAAAGTTAGATTGACCGAGGCCAAGGCAGTGGGCCCAATCTATGTTGTCAAGCAGCACAGCAACTGCAATAAAGGCAGCAACAACCACAAGCAACAAATACTCCGAGCCATGTCAATACTGTGGTAACGTCGATTCCGCAAGCACCATCACTGTTTAGAGCCGCATGCAACAACCAAGCGCGCAGGAGCCGTAGCAACGGTAATGGAAACAACAATTCTCAACTGAACCATTGTCAGCTTCCACGCCTAATGGTACTGTGACATCGACACCACATACCGTATCACCGCCCACTGTTTAATGACCTTATTCGTATACCAATAATATATGGATGCTTTTAGATTCTATTTATTTTGGAAATAATTTTTTCTCTCCCCATTCTCGAGCAACATTATTACTCTGCAAATCTACACGAATTTATTGCTTGACAGATGTAATTAATATTGCAGTCCGCCAAGAGCGAATATATTAAGTAGCTTTGGAAGCAGTCGAAATAAAAGTCGCGGCAAGTTTAACCATTCGACGTAAATGTTAACGTCAAAATATCAATAGATTTGTTCTTTGCAGCTAAGCTTTTCTTTTTGTTCATATTTTCCATTATCTTTCCAGTATATCTAATCACGTGCTTTTAAGTGCAGAAAGTATAACAAATTGCAGTTGCAAAGAACAGGTCCGTGATTTTTTTTAGAACAAAGTTCCGATGTAAACTATCTTTTGAAATGCACCAGTATACTCCATTCCCACTAGATGGTAGCACAGCAATGTTATTTATTCGCTCGTCACTGCTCGCCACTTGCTCGCTGTCTTATCGACGCGATGACAAAGATCTTCGAGTCCAGAGACCCTGCAGTGGCATACGGGATGGAAAATAGAAATCCTTTCAACAACCTGCGAAGAAACATTCGACTTTGTTTCCCTAACGACGAAAAATGATGCTCCGTTTGCTATTTGCATTTGAATTATTCAACGATGCCAGACCGCTCGCGCGCTCGCCAGACCCCCTACCTAATATCTTAATCGATTAAAGCATCACCATTACGCGAATCATATCTACAACAAATGAAACATTGATCTTAGGTCTCGGCAAGTTTTGGGGTATTTTGAAATGCGAGAAATCGCTCGACTCCTCCGGACGGAAGGGAGAAAGAGAGAGTGGCCTGGGGGGTTGGGAGGGGGCACGTTTGGTTTACGAGGACGAGAGTTGGTCGGACGTTCATTCTTGCCTCGTAATAATATTTTTGGAACGCGCGACCGAACTCGAGCGAGGCTTCGACCTTGCCTCCTGAATCAACGGCGTAAACGCGGCGATTATATGTATACGCGCCGCGTCGTCCGTGTACCACGGTTGACTGGACATCCCTACGAGAACCTTGCGGCAGCGCAATCAAGAACCGAGGCGTTTCTAATTAAAGCGTCGCGCCGGCTGGAAGAGCCAGCGGTGACGCGAAAACACCGCACCGGAAAGCATCCTCGAGAGCTTTCCTTGCGAAAAGCTCGTTCCGGAAGCGTATGTCACGTGATCTCAAATCGCGACTCATCCCGAGAATGAAAAACCCGTTTTGTACCCTCGTTTTGTATGCTGGCGGGAGGAAGTAAACGCATTGGATCTTGTCATTTTTTTTACTCCCGATCGAAAATCGGTCATCAATCGAAGTTCGGCAAGAGATAGAAAGTGCGATGTACGCTGCTGTTATTGTATCTCGAAAAGTATTCGAGATGTCAAAAGATGTTTTATACAAAAGTTTCACGATAAGAGACTATCTATTTAACCACATTATAAATATTTCGAAAAAAAAATTTTAATCATTTTTTCAGAATTTTTGGGTTTGCGACGTTCTCTTTGTGAGATCGAGAATCAGCCATTGCCTTAATTTTCTCTAATGTATAGATTATAATTACTATATCGATTACCGCTTCGCGTTTACGGTTGACTTGTTCGAGAGCTACGTATCTCCACGATGGGCATAATTGAGATTACGCAATGAACGAATCCGTTCGGGCACCAAATTCGCACCAAAATACATTTTTAGACTCGTGGAACACCGTCGAGAGCGGTCAGGTTCGTCGATAGACAGACGAACTTATTTTCAGGGAGCGTTATTGTAATTAGCGGCGAAGAATCCGCTTTCTTTTCAGAATTTGCTTTGTGTGGAACGCATCCCGGATATACCGGACGACAGCCGAGAAACCTTCTCCGGTTGGTCCCAGAGAAAGAAATCTTTCGTTTCCGGAAGTCGACGAAAGAAGAAGAGCGTCTCGATCATCCCCGACCGGGTCGACTGGTCGACGTGCGGGGCTTGAATTCGCGAGGCGTCTCGTCGACTGGACGGAAAAAATGGAAATTTGTCCGAGAAAATCGGGAAGTCAACGCGGACGCTCGCCGTCTGTTTGTCTCGCGTTTTGATGACGAATCGGGAAGGAACGTATCGGTTGGCTAGATTAGAAAAACTTTGGTCTCCTTATCGCGCGAGAGCGATAAGCCTGCATCAAAGTATAACCGTTTCTTCTCGCGTGGCGTATAGTTTCTTCCCCGTATAGCTAAAATTTCAGGATGAAGCTAAAATATGAAACGGAATAAAATATATAAAACGGAATTTTACTTATTAAACTCGCGTAAAATTCGCACTTATTAAATTTTATCTATTAAAAAATGTGTAAAATTGTGTAATCACATCATCACCTGTTCGTGCACCTTTAAACTTTCATAAGCTGTTAAAATTGACTTTACGACAATTGATTCATAGCCTACTGTAAAGATTTATCGTCAAAGAAAGGTCCAAATTTTGGAAATAAATTATATTATGTTATAGAAATAGAATCAAGAAATATTGATGCTAAAAAATAATTTCCTTTTTAATTCGAAGTTCATTCACCTTTAATCTTCATAGGTAAGTTATTAAAACTGATTTTGCGCTATAAAGCCAAATTGATCCACGTGTAATACAGTGTCTATTGTAAGCGTATACCCTTTTAAAAGATCATCCAGACTTTTGAAATAAATTATATTCCGTTACAGAAATGGTGTGTCAAGAGGTATTGATGATAAAAAATAATTTAATTTTTAGCTTAGAAATTTAGAAGTTAATAAATTTTGTGATAGGTCCAAAATGATCCATATGCAGCAGCCTAGGAAGATTAAGAAGATATAGTTTCGCGTTTCTTTATTTATACTTATTTATTTAGCCAAAAGCGTTACTTTCTGCGAGCTGAACGGAGGAGAGGGTTGGAGCGTGGCTGAATAGGCAATCAGGTACCTATAGCATCCCCATTAACAGGAAATTATTCTGCAAACCGAACGGATAGAGCTCTCGCGATAATTATACGCGCTCTGCTCAGCAAAACGATTTTACTCGACGAGTTATTCTAAGAGAGAACGAATTTATTTGTCGCGAGCGAAGGAATTTTCGGATCGCGGAAAATCAACCCGCGAATGTCCGAGATGAATTTGCGGCACGTCGATTTTTCTGTGCCTCGTACGATAACTTTCTTCCAGAAAAGCCGCGAGTTATCGACTTCGACG